TAAAAAAGTATCTAATAATGATGAACTGTCCACTAAAATATCCGATTGGGTTGAAAATCACCTCAATTTGAAGCATGGTACAGTAGATAAAAAGTTAGATGACATTTTCAAGAAGATCTATTATCATTACGACTTCATTGACTGTAGTCTGATAGTTGCTATGTGTAATGAGTTTATAAGTGATGAAAAAGATCTACTTGATGAACTGAAGGCTTATTCATTAAGAGCTAATACATTTCGTTCAGCAAGACCAATCACTGATCTCAAAAAGAAGTTACGTAAAGTGTATAGACCTTATAGACAACGTTTGGAGAATATGCCATTGATCTGTATTGAACTACAAAATCCTTGGAACAGAGTTAACATTAATGGGCTATATATTCTTGTTGGAAGTTTACTACCAAAGGAACTTAGACAGTCAATAATGAAATGCATCACTATTGAGCCAGGATCTGTTATCATCAAGTTACATATTCTTGACATTACAGCTGATAGTCTAATAGAATATACTGGAGGAAAGTTACAGTTTATGTATCTCATTGGTATATTTAGTTTATACATTAATGATCATCCTGTCCTTCAAGAAGATGAGAATATGAACTTCACCTTTGAACTAGCTCTCCTTGAGGCAGTCATAGCTGGTAATAATGAAGCAGTAGGATTCCTTGTTCAAGTAGTTAATATTGATCATACTAATGAAGAAGGTGAGACAGCACTAATGTTTGCTTGTAAAAGAGGACATGAGGACATTGTACACAGTTTACTGTCTGCTGGAGCTAATGTTAACATTCAGGACAATGAAGGACAGACTGCACTAATGATAGCAAGTGAACATAATCACATTTCAGTCATTCACATGTTACTACAAGCTAATGCTAATCCTCACCTGAAGACATCAGATGGATTAAATGCTGTAATGATTGCTAGTGGCTATGGCAACTATGAGGTTGTTGAGCTATTGATTAGTAAAGGAGTTGATTGTAATTATCAACAAAAAGATGGAGTGAATTCTTTTATGTTTGCTTGTCGAAATGGTCACCTTCAAATAGCTAAACTATTACTGAAGGAACAAGTCAATCCCAATGTTCAAAACAAAAATGGAGTGAATTCTTTTATGTTAGCCTGTCGTAATGGTCACACTCAAATAGTTGAACTGTTACTGAAGGAACAAGTTGATCCTAATGTACAAAAGGAAGATGGTTGGAATGCTTTTATGTTTGCCTGTCTAAATGGTCACACTCAAATTGTTGACTTGTTGCTAAAGAAAAAAGTCAATCCTAATATTCAAAGATGCGATGGAGAAAATGCTTTCATGATAGCTTGTAAAAATGGTCACACTCAAACAGTTAAACTGTTGCTGAAGCAACAATTTGATCCTAATGCTCAAAGGAATGATGGTCGGAATGCTTTTATGCTGGCTTGTAAAAATGGACACACTCAAATAGTTGAACTGTTGCTGAAGGAACAAGTTGATCCTAATGTGCAAGATAAAAATGGTATGACTGGTTTAATGCTTGCCAGACATCATGAAATAGTTAAGTTATTATTAGAATCGAAAGCTGATCCAACTATTGAATCTAATGAAGGCAAAACTGCATTATATTATGCCAAAACTAGTGAAACAGAAAAATTACTTATTGATTATTTTGAAAAAAGGGACAAGGATGCTACTAGATATGGATCTCAACAGACATTATCCAGTGGATATCATACGGTATCTCATGATAGTAGTATAAGAAGTTTTCCTTCTACTTTAACTTTAGATTCAACAGTAAAAGACTCTGAAGTAGATACTGATACTTAGTTTAGCCTGGTCATGCAGTGTGACCAGACTATTATTGTGCAACAATTTTAATTTGTATAATAGTGAGTGGGCGTATCAAAGGCACCGCCTGTGGTTACAAATGTGATGTAACACAGCTTTCATTTGTAACACTCCTTGTGGTTTTATTTGTAGCCCTGTGGGTTGACAGCAAAAATCTCTTAAAATAAAATACAAGAAACAACATTATTGTACAGGTATTATAAGCTGAAAGTTAACTGTCAATAAAGCTTGCAATAAAGTCTGGCCTAGGTCCAGTGGCCCGCGGGAACGAACAGCGGGTACAAAGTCGGAACAATTGTGAGTCTCCGGAGTGCAGAAAACTTTAGATCGATTCACAGACCAATAATCCATGCA